CCACCAGCCCACCAGCCCACCAGCCCACCAGCCCACCAGCCCACCAGCCCACCAGCCCACCAACGAAGCTAGGGTGACCCTAGTGCTAGATAGGGCTTAATCTTTTGTTTTTAGTGTCCACTTTTGGAAGAACTGAAACGACCTAAGACCCCTGCGGGCTGGCATGATGACGTTAATTTAGTCTCATGGCAGAGACCATGCACTTATATAGCTTGGTCGAGCTAGGCGAGTACTGCCCATGTATACCTGATTATTATTATTGTAGAAATTGCTTTCTTCGTTCAAGTACTCAAGAACAATCTAGAGCTCTGAAATAGGATTCAAGTCCATATGCGAATAGTAAGACAATTAATAATAATGAACTATAGGAAAAAGTAAATTAGCTTGAGCTAAGGGAGTTAACTAGTATCCCAAGTGCCTTAGAACGTTGTTTTCTTTGGCTTCAACCGGTTTAAGTGAGTCTTTTTGTAACTATACTTCTACCTAATATTCTAACATTACTAATACTCATGTGTTGCTTTAGCACATGACTAATTTGGCAAATAAAAGTAGTCCGGTTGTAGAATCTGGACTGAAACTGAACTAATTTTTCAAAAAGTGTTACATTATTTTGACGAGTATCTTTAAATCTCTTGAAGAATTTGGAAAAAGATATCGCTAAAAGGTGTGACATACACTCTACTTTTAAAAGTACAATTCACTTTTCAATTTCGAAAATATTAATTTTAGCTGTACGTTTAAATAAAAAGAATGTTACATCTATCTCTATGCACTCTGGAACATTAGTGGATCCTCCTCTGGGCTGAGCTATAGTTTTTGGACTATATAATTTGATTTACTCGTTTACTTAGGGTTAGCCTCGAATCAGTGTCTAAATATTCACAAATACCAACGGTAAAGTAAAGAATGCACAACTTCAACAATACAAACACTTTGAAACTTGACGGACCTTGACTGSAACACGTGAATATTCTAGTATAAAACGGAGGCTTGCCCTGAGCAACAGAGAACTCGAAACTGGAGTATTACAGTGAAGACACTCGAACCATGAACACTTGACTTTATTCAGATTTTTATTTCACTGAGCTTTTTACTGCTTCAAACCCTCTAAAAAACAGTAGGATTGAACTCAAATATGCTATGTGATGAAAAGACAACTTATTTCTAAATGATTCACTCAAGGGATGGCTAGAGCGTCCTCACTGTAAGCAAACGGAAGTGYAGAAGGCCGATTCTAGTTGTAGTAGAWGCAAAAATATACAGCATGGCTTGGCACGTATTTTAATAGTGAGTCATAGATTTTAGATTTGACTCCCCCGACTGTGTATCTAACTATATAGACCCCTTGCAGCACTTTTGAATGTAGCTTAATCTGGGGGACAAAAACAATAGGTTACAATTCTCAGGAGATTGGAATTCTTTTGTTTTGTCCCCCAGAKCGAGCCGCTTTGACGTCACATGCAAGGACCCCGGTCTATAACTTTAGTACGTTACTCAGGGAATATCCGGAGGTTGAATGTACCCCCATGACCATCTGCATGTGGGTTTTAGGGGAGATGATAAAGGGATCATTTGTTGAGGGGTGAGCAGAGAGTGTTATGCCTCCATAGAGCATCCTGGAATCCACTTTGATTTTATACCCTATATTGTAAAGCTACGAACTGCAATCTTATTAAAGTTTTTTCAATAGTAACACACTAATTGAAAAGTCTATGATGGTGTATGCATATATTAGTATGGCGTCAAAAACGACGTCAAACATTGATTGAAGGCTTTGGACCCCTTTGTAGGCACTGAGTCATACTTTTTTTTTGCAGTTATTTGCATGAATCTTAGAATGAAATGACAAAAATTGACCGCTGCAGAAACGTTGTAGTATACATTTATACGTTTATACAAATACCTAATGAGATGCATATTGCAATTTTACTTTTTTAACCCTCATAACCAATTGATTCATAACCTGTAAGATGTAAAACACAAGAATAAAATATTTTGACGTTCATTGAATGAAACAAATAATAAATAAAGCGAGTTTTCTGTTTTG